CCTGCAACTAAAGTCATGTCTAATTTGGAGTATACAGCAGATTTCATCATAGGTATACCCTCCCTCAAAATAATGTTGAATCAGTTCGTCTCTTATGAAAACAATTAAGGAATCAAACATTGTAAATAATCTATTATTTACATTCCGTTCTGTGTGATATCGTGCAGGGACAGACAGAAATATTACGTAGGCTATAGACCTAAAGTCAGGCTGTTAACGAGTAAAGTTACATCTAGAGTAACTAAGTTATCGAGAAAAACAATCTACCCCAACAAAAGTCTATTTTGTTAATTTATTTATGTAACCAAAAATGGTGTTATTTCATATACACTTTACCTAACCGATGTCAGGATATTATTTCTTCTTTCAATTGGATTTTGGTGCAACTGCAAAAACCAATACATGTACATCTTCTAGTTCTATTGCTAAAATGAGAGTCAGGTGTGGTGGATTGATCGAACAAAGACATGTACATGTGAAACCATCAAGGGTCAAAGTTAAAAATACAACTGCGCAATCATGACCAAAAAAACCCACGGGCAACGCACGACGGGCGATGCAGGACGGGCGATGCACGACGGGCGACGCACGACAGACGGCAGATATGGAATTCCATACATAGATAGTGATGCTTTATGAAAATTCATCATCTTTAAAACTCTGGTTCTTCATGTTTACGATTATTAAAATTGGAATTGAGTTTGATGAGTTCATCTTGTATTTCTGGTCATGACTAGCCCAGGCAGGTGGAGTCTGTACTAGTTGTAATGTACAGTAAGGTAGACTAGCATCCAACCTGGGTTAAATCATGACTAACATTTATAGTCCCAGTAACTGCATGGTAATTACCTCCTTCCTCTGTGGTATTACTAAATACATGTACTAGGTGGCGGCCGAGGCCTACCATTTTTTCTCAAATTTTGGGATTGACTGGTTCAATACAACAATCTTTTATGTTACATTTACCCTTTTGGGGGGGGGATTTAGATTTGAAATTTGTGAGAAAATGGAATTTTCTGACTGATGAGTGATACTAGATGTAAACCAGTCAATCAAATTTGACTTCACCATGTTTCATGTATTAAAACACTTTTTTCCTGGTGCATGTTAATTCCCTCAAAACTCAACCCTCTGCCCTCTTTTCACAATATTATTAACCCTACAGTTCAGCATAAGGTCAACGTTAACTACCTTATCCAAAAGTTTAATGTGGCCCTGTAGGTCTCCCACTTATTGTAGGAATACATATAGGTCCCCAAATACACAATTCCCGTATCCAGCATGTCCACGTATGTAGGTCTACATTTCTTGATGACCATTTGAATCCTTACAACGTATCAGTAGGCATGTCAATGTATAGATTCCATGACATCAACAAAACTTACATTGCCTAGTATGAAATGCACACATGTTGTAAGTGGTAAATTGCACTTGTAATAAAATTTTTAGGGTTTTCCAACCTAATTAACTTATTTGTAACCTTTACCTTAAACTAAATGTTCAGGATGCCCAATGACACCCAAGATGCAGTGCTAAACTGACTGTCAGCATTTGCAGAAAGGATGACCCTGACCGAATGGCAAGTAACAGCCAGGATAGGATGTCAAACTTGGCCAAGCAGAGTGAGGTGCAGAACTGTCTGCCAGTATCGGAATGTAGTAGTAACGTTAAGGAGATGATAAAATGTAGCCTGGGTGAGATATGACAGTCAGGATTGGGATGTAGAACCAGATGTAATGTTCAGGTGGACGCAGGGCATGTGCAGTTCCTTTGATGGGGAAGCAAAGGAGACAGGTAGTTTGTGCATTTTACAGTGTTAAGCAGCTGAACAAACCTGATTGCAATCATTGGAGAAGCATGTGCCCTGTTCATTTATGGTTCACTTTCTTCATTTTTTTTTACATTGCCTTTTCACTGAGACATGCAGATCTCTGTTCATGAACTTCAAAGAATAGTGTATTCGCACACAAATGAAGATTGCCACAAGTTTGGCTTTGACCTGCTTGCAACATACTTGTAACTCCTTGTTTGAATTCAAGTCAAGCATCTTTTGATTGCGTAGTTGTGAGATACTGTTCTTTTTCATATTCTGGGCATCAAACTCTCTGTGGAATACCATTTCACACTCAGAACAGAAAGCTTGGATGCACACCTCTGTGTGCATCCAAGCTTTCTGTTCTGAGTGTGAAATGGTATCATCAAGGATCCAAAGTCTGACTTGGATGTGTCATAGGCCTTGTTATTTATAAACAGGAGTGAGGGATCATCCAACAGGGCATTGGGTCTTAGCAGAACATTTCTGCAGGTCTTGCACAATGACAATACATCATGGCCAGAGAGGGCTTTTCGACAAAGATATCCAGCAATGTTTGCCAGTGTGTTCTGTTCGGGAGGCTCAATTGGAGTAGGAGCAGGAATGCATTTGTGTACACTCTGAAACTTTGGCTTCATGTGCCACTTCTGTCTCTTTCTGTTACATGATGAGCAGAGTTTATTTGTGAGGGTCTGTAGTGTCACGATAAACTTATCAGAATCCACCAAGCACTTGAAGCGGGCTTGAGGAGAGATGCAACAGACACCATTCTGAAAGTACATCGAAATTCCTTTGGTGATGGATTGTCTCTGAACCTGCCTTTTCTCCTAATAGTTGAAAACAGGTTCCCCACAATGTCCTGGTTGAGGCGAGATGTTATCAGAAATCTAGCGTCAGCAGTCTCTTTCAAGTGCAACCATAGCTGATTGACACAAGATATGGCCAGAAGCCAGCCCAAGGGCAAGATGAACATTATCTTCTTTGCTCCAACTACTCTGAGATTCTTCAGCACAGGTAAGCATGTTTGGAAAAAGGCTTTATTGCCCAGATTTTTCTAATAAAGGCCGTTTCAGTTTCTTTGGGTCCTTGAAAGATCTGGCATTGAAAAAATCAATCATTTCAATGAACTTAGCTGTGTGTGCAGCTTCTACAGGCAGTCTCCTAAATGCGACATATGCATATTCCTGCATGAATGGCTTGGGACTTGAGCAGCTTTGTTTATTCTCATTTTGGAGAAGCTGTTGAGTTTGAAGTGACCTTTGGTGAGCTTGTGTGCCTTTCTAATGGCCAGCTGTGAGTCCTGCTCTTAGAAATCGTGAATATAAGCCCATTTGATATGTTTGCATCCCTCTTTTCCATTGACTTTGAAGATGTATTTCTCTAGGTTTGATCTTGTATTCTTCAGTAAGTGCGGTGGGTCATGCATGAAAAAGATCTTCTCTTGGCCATGGAAGATGAAAGGCTGATCAACTGTAACTAAAAGATTTTTGAACATTTTGCCGTTGCAGGAGCCCTGGTCGCACACAACCACCTTCGGATGCAGCCTGATGTCTTTCAGATGCTAAATGCATTCCATTAGTAATGCCTCAAGGTGAGTAGCACTTGTGGCATCTCTTGATAAAAAGTAACCAAGAGGTTGTCTCTACTTACTGAATGGACCTCTCACCATGAATACAAGGGCATGATTTGCAGGCTTAGATGTTCTGCCCAATGACCCAAAATCTTCAAAACCCTCTACTTTATCTTCTTTGATGTTGTATGACAGACCTGTTCGCAGACTCATTTCATCAAATGAAATGACACAAAACCTATCCCTTTCAGTCATTGAAGTAACTTTATCTTTCAACAGCTCCAAAACATTGGGAGGAAAGCCAGGGTTTACTTCAACATTTCTCAACCAACAATGAAGAGAAGAAATGGAAAGAAGTGTGAAAATACCCTGACAGAACTGGCAAGCACGAGGACTCTGGTGATACAAAGAGAGAGCTATGATCTTGTCTCTGTAGCTCCATCTCCTTCCTTTGGCCTTACATCGACGTGATGAGTTGTTCCTCAATTGGGACGCAAAGAATGATAATGCAGGGTCTTCAAGGAACTCGTTGGCACCTTTGATTACTGTGTTAATTGATTGGGTCCCCTTAGTTAGCTTCTCCAAGGAATTTTTCAGCGCCTTAACTCTTTTCCTCAGTCTGCATGTTCGAACACGCTCCTTCTTGAGCAGTTTCCTTGGGCTTCGCTTTAGGATAGACTCAGGAGCATCAGATGATTCATGTGAAGAGTTGCTGGGTGATTGTATTTCCTTGGAAGCCTTGCAGTGTGAATGCTCAGTCTGTACAGTGTAAGGCACTGAAAACAAGAAAATGAAAACCAAAAAAGAGCCAAGGTCAATTTTTGAGTAGAGATTCTGACGCAAGTAAAGCAAGCCCTTGTGGCATCAGTTTTTGCTTTTTTGTTTAAATCAGTGCCCCATGAGAGCATATAATACATGTGCATGTACCTAACCTACTGAACTACATTTACAAGGCATCTATTGTGTCTGGCTTGATGTTGGCCTTTGGTGACTTTTTCTATCCTTTTTATTACAATTTGCCTTCAAAATTGTTAAAAACGGGGGATAATTAGTTTACATAAATGCTTGGACACAGTCTAGAAAAACTTTCAAACAAAATATTACAGCCCTGACACCTGACACAAAATAGGGCAATACAAGTGGCAGGTCTCATGAAAAATTAGGTACAGTGTAGTAGCTTTAATCACAGACTTGTTCGTGTGCTAATGGTTTACTACCCCTATTTGATTTCATGTTTTTGACATTGTAAATCTGCAAAAGTTTTTTTGTGAATTTTGAAATGAAAAGGTTTAACTACTTGAGACTGAATCAAAACACTTGTATTTAAAAATTAATACAATCCACATATATCCTGAAGTGAAGTTGTTCAATTTCTGGCAGACAGCAGAAATGTGCTTCCACATTGCCTTCAATTTGCTCACTTTATTTTTGCTGCATTCACATTATTTGTAATACATTGTAGAGTGTTATCCATTGTGTGGTGTTAAGTCTGTAAAGACATGTAGAGAGTGGAATTTACTGAAATCAAAAGAAGAAAAGATGAGAGGAAGGACTATAACCAATATTAATTCACACATGACACACGGCTGAAGGTCCCCCAAAGAACGTTGACCATCATCTAAGCCTTGTGTTCTTTGTATTAGCCACTCAGTGGTGGGGGTATCATCAGGAACCACCCGACTCATTGTTACCTTTTTCTGAGATGATTGGAGAATGAGCACACAAGAACAAGGAACGTGATCAACGGTGCACGGTATACACATGGCTGAAGTTTTTCCAAAGAACTTTGACCATCATTTATGCTTTGTGTTCTTTTTACTAGCCACTCTATGGTGGGGCACACCAAGAACCATGTGACACAATGTTGTCTTCTTGAAGACTTCTTCAGTAACAAATGATACAAGAACAAGAAAAAACATATATTATGAGCTATTTGAATTAATAAATATCACCACAGAGTGCCTTTTCCTTCCTCCATGATCTGTAGAAGGAAACTAAAAAACAAGATATTAGGCGTGTTAAGCCTTTGTTTCAAATTAAATGAGACTTGCAATAATTATGTGCATGAACAAATGGACATATACTGGTACCTTAGAGTTAGGAAAACATTTTTATGAGCAATTGGAATCCAAAACATCAGCATGGAGTGAACATGCATAAGAGAACTCAACTAAAAAGAGTACATTAGGCTGGTCAAGCCTTTGACCAAGAGTGAAGAATATTGGTAGATATAGGACTGTTCTTGCGAAGAAATGTGCCTTTGCATTCCAAAACCAGCACAGAAATAATCTGCAGAAAGGAACCACAACTATGCATAGAGCAGGTTACATAGCTGTTGTGTCAAAATGAACACGAGTCTGATAATAGTAATCAACTTCATGTTTACAGATAGCGAGTTTATACCATGAATTTGCCATTACAACTGATTTGCCATTTAATAATTTCTCATTTGTCACAGCCCCATGTTCCTATTTTATGGCGGCTATAAAATCTGAGTGTTTCAGTGCTTTCATTGAGCTTCTTAAATAACTGCTAAGCATTATGTTTGGTGCACAAAGTTCTTCCACAACAGATTTTGAAAAGGGGTTCCTAATCTTCCTTACCTTTAGATTTCTGATTAGGTACTCTCTGTGTCAGATCTTCAAAGTGCCTCTTGAGAGGCCTGCGGGCTGGAGATATAGATTGGGGGGGGAATCAAAAATAGTAGGGATGGCTTTCCATTTCAGGCTGTTTTTAGTCAGCTTGTTTGTAAACTGTTTGTAAAATCTTCAAAATGCTCCAAGCACAAACGGCAGTTGGTACTGAGATACAGTGGTGTCTTCTTCTTTAGATCTATCCGTCAGGTGTTTTGGACCCACTGCAGACATCTCCAGAAGTAAAATATGAAAGACGAATGAGTTGGGAAAAGATCAAATATATGAGATGAGATTTGTATGTCTAAAGCTGCTCATCACCACAATATAGATGTTTATATTCGACTTTCAATTTTGTCTTTTAAATTTTTCAACTGCGTACAGTATGTTAGTGTTGTAAATATCCTTGTACATGTATATTTTATTGCCGTAAAAATAAAATATGCCTATTTTTAGACTTATTAGCACATCCCATTGCTTTGTTTTTATATTTTTTACACAGGTTTTTCTGAAAAAAAAAGCATGTTGAATTGGGCTTGGGTTAACTGAATTTGCATTGAAGGCAATATTATCGCACCACTCAATTTGATTATCAATGTACTGAAATTAACGGTAGTGTTTGACGACAGTTTGTGTTCTCCTATAAATAACGAGTAGGTCTACCGTAGCCTCAGGCCGAATGATGCCTTACACTTGTTGCTGTCACAATGTGTTAACCAACTGTCACCCAGTCAAAGCTGGCACTAATTTTCTTAAGTTGAATCTGGATTTACCAAACCAAAGCCTTGGTATCCACGTCCGAAAAACGAGTTTTTTTGTGCTTCAAAAACGGCACGGAGCAAAGCAAGTATAGGCCTAGCTTAGGCCTGTGCTAAATACATACGAAGAAAACCGTGACACATTAACAGCTTGAGCGGAGGAGAAGAAAGGACAAAATATTAAACATAATTTATATTACTTCTCTTTGTTTTGGGGGAATCTGAAGAAAGACAATTCTGGGTGTCTGCACTGCCTACTGCTGCATTGAGGTGCCGAACAGTGGGCAGAGGATGACGAATTTCTGCTGCCAGACGCCATTGTCAATATTCACACATCCGGGAAATTTGGAAACTTTGCTTACTCGATTGGCCGCTGCAGCATCACGTAGCCGATTACACTTTCTGCCGGTCAGTGATCCATCTTGAGCCGCTGCCCACGGCGCTATAATACTATCTTTGGGCGACAGCACGCGACACATCGTGTGCGTACCAACCATTGATCTCCATTGTAGACTGGATAGGACGGCGCACAAAATGCGCGGCCGAACAATGGCGGCACTTCAAGAGTGTAATGTGATGCTGTATGCTGTGCATTTCTGGTCAACATAACCTTTTTCTCATGGGATGATGGCTAAGCCCTCGGCCTCCCTCCCGAAAACATGCCGACAATAAACAGAAAATGCAAGAATTTCATTTCCGGAAACAACTTGCCATTAACTAGCCCACTCTAAAGCGATAGTTTTTATGTTTTATGTGTGTTTCTTTAATTGGTCTCGCTATAGCAATGTTTTCACTTTCAATCGTGATTTGTTCAGTGTGTAAAACTTTGAGAATTCCACCAGGACATGCAATAATGCAATAGGTTTTGTCAGTAATTATGATGTCCAAACTGTCTGTGTGTTTTTCCGTCTGGTTTCGACGAGCCAACACTGAAAAAAGTCATCAATAAAATGATTTTAATTTTACACACTCTCAGGAAAAATTGTACTAAATAAATTCATTCACATATTGAGTAAATTTTTATTGAAAACCGACATGCGGCATACGGAAGTGTGAGAATCTTTTCTGTGAGCACAAAGTGAGCGCAGCTTTAAATGAGCGACCAAACTAAGTTGCTGCCGTTTTTAAAACTGACACTTATTAATCAGCTTAAAAAGGTAAGTTCACAACCTGACTTAAACATTTACATTTAACAACTACTTTCCGGCATAAAAAAGTCACTTTTAGTTGAGAACGAATAATTTTGTTGTGTAGACTAAGTTTCTTTCATTGACTTGAATTCCCTTGTTTGTAACTTCATTCAACAGAAACGTCAGCACTCTGCTTCTCACTTTGGTTTCATCTCTGCCCCGAAGAATTCTGTCACTCATATCACATCGTCTGTCACACGAATTGGGTTCAGTGCGTCTTTAGAACCGACAAACACAAATCATGGCTGTCTTGGAGATTTTTCTGATGAAACCTGGGGAAATTAAACGACATATTAGTCATTCATTTTTTAAAACCACTTTTGCCAATAAGTAACATTCAGACAGTCCCAACTTCGAGATAGTGAAGTTTCATATACAACGCCTGATAGGTCAGATAGACTTGTCATAAATTTCTTACTAGGCCTATATAGGCTTAAAAATAAACATTATAAAGTACAACTTGAGAAACTTTCTGAAACTAAAAAAGTGTGATTCACATTTCCTTCTGTTCCTTCCTCCAAACTTAACGTTGGTCTCCGGTAATTCACTGCTGCGTACAACTCAACCATTATTCTTTCAAAATTTATCCATTCTGAGTGCAGAATTCATTTTTTTTCTTCGAAATCTGACGATTGAAGCACAAAAACCTCAACCATTTTTTGAGAAACTCCATTTGAAAGTATACGCAACGAATTTTCGCAACGCTTGTTATTTACCCTCCTGAAAATACGCATACGCGGGACGCGTTTTGGACCCGATGTCCTATCCAGTCGATATAGAGCACCGAAATGAATACGTCACGCGCACAATTATTGTGTAAAAGGCATGTGCGCGAGAACCAGCGCGTGAACCAAAACGCGTGCGTACTCCATTCGTTTGCACTGCACTTTCTGGTTCGCAGTGACGTCACACTTACCGAAGTGTGACGTCACGTATTCATTTCGGTGCTCTATATAATGGAGATCAATGGCACAAACGTAATGGCAAGAAGGCGACGGTACACGACCCGACGGCACGACGAAAGGGAGCCGTCGCGGCGTCGCGCCGTTGCGTCGCCTGGAGGGAGGCTAGAGAGAGAGAGAAATTTGTGTCATAAATAATACGCCATACTTTTCACTTTTGAGTTGCCTTTCATGCAACATTGCAACGGTGAACCGTGACAAAAAAAGAAAAAGGGTGTGAGTGACTCTCTTTTTTCAGTGAGGCGGTGTACCGTTGCGGTTATCGCGAGCGCGTGCAGCATTTATTAAGAGCTGGGTGTACGCGCTCCTTATTAGGATTAGGCGGACTTATTAGAGGCAATCTAACATGCTTCCCCCTCGCCCCCTGTCAATGTTGCTTTTAATCGGGTAAGTTGGGCCGAATCTTGGTCCAGTAAATGACTGCAACATTGAAAGGGGGAGAGGGGGATCTTTTCACCGCGCTTCCCACAAGGTGTTCCAACTTTTTTTCGTCAAAGTTGGTGTTCCATTGCTACAATTTTTTTTCACCGTGCACGGCGAGTCGCTTGCTTGGACCGATCAACTTTCTTGCCTTAACTACGCGTTCTGGTCTGGGAAGTCGAGTCCGTCCTATGACGTCACATTTTGTGCCAATATTTGTCTGCTGCCCTCATTGACCGATTTCGATAAATTTTTGCAAAGAGCCCAGGCGGAGGCTGACCAAGCACACACAAAACGACAATTTTTTGCTGATTTATTGACATGAAAGAGGGGTTAGTCCAACTTATTGTATATAAGACGGCTGGAAACGTCATAACGTCAATTTAACACTGCATAGCCTTTTCCCTTTAATAAAGTTTTCTCTGTACGTTTTGTACACGTTTTTCTGTTGCGCACTATTAACGGTCTTAATAAGCGAGTTGTGCTAAACTCTGGCAGCGGATTACTTTGAGAACGAAAGAAATCAGAGGATATTTTTTCTTCTACTCGATCAGCAATATACCCAAGAGTAAAAAAATAGAGTAAAGTTTTTGAAAAATTTTCGATTCAAACGCAAATCACGTGACATAAATTCAAAGGTATATTTTTCCCTATTGGTTTTGTACATGGTTTTCGAATGTCAAAGACTGAGGCACTCATTCATCTGACTTCGTATTCGGTGCGAAGTGATGCCAACATGAAATTGTCACTGTGACATCATCAGGCATCACATGACATGACATTAAAGGTGTGAACTTCAATTCTCTATATCTTCTGAAGTACAAGTCTGATTGAATTAAAACCTTCCGGGTATATAGAAAGGGAAGTGTTATAGACAAAAAGCCACGTGATGATGACTTCATCAAGTGACAAGTCACGTGACAAAAGGGGCACTCTTTTAAGCACTGTGTCTCCTAAAGTACATGTTCGATTGGATTAAAACTGTATCTAATCGCGGCACCAAAAGAGACCAAAATTGACCCGAATTGACACTATCAGATGATGTCCTCAAGTGGTAAGTCATGTGACATTAAAGGCGCACTCTTCAAAGCACGGTTTCTTCTGAACTCCATGCTGGATTGGATTGAAACTTTGCACACAGCTATAAATGGAAGTGTTGTTGACGAAAATTGACATACTGGGATAATGACGTTATCAGGTGACAAGTCACTTGACATTAAGGTTGCACTGTATCTTCTTAAGTATATGTCCGATTGCAATACAATCTTGCACATACCGGTGGCTCGTCTGGGAAGTTAGTCACTGGTTGCAGATACCAGATATTGAAACCAGAGCCGAAGCAGCTGTGTTTGTCCACAAATGCATTTCTAGTTGTTTTTTTTTCGTGGACACGAGACACTGTTGTGGCCAAATACACCGCTAAATAATGCAACTGTAAGTTTTTCAGATTGTTCGAAACGCTGCCAAAGAGAAAACTTTTACTTCCAAGTATTGATATGGCCA